ATGCGTGTGCGCCGCGCGTATGCGTAAGCCGTGTGTGTGTGGATGTGTGTATTAGATCATATTAAGATTTTAAAGTAAAATATGTTTTTATTTTTTTTTAATTTAATCTTTTATCCTCGAACAAATAAAAGATAATTTCAATGTCAACCTGAAAAGAAAAAATATGAGAGAAAAAAATAACAATAGATAAAAATAAATTTCCAAAAATAAAATTAAAATTCAGATTTAATTTAGAATCATCACAAAGTACATATATTAGATCATATAATATTTTATAGTAAATATTTTTTTTTTGGTTTGATTTAATTGTCATCCTTAACAAATAAAGATAATTGAATCTCAATGTGAAATGCGAATGAAACGAAAATTTATGAGAGAAAAAATGACAATAAATCAAAAGGAGTATTCAGAATTTAAATAATAAATAAAATTAGAATATAAAACCATAAGATAAAAGATTTAACAAATAAAATCAAAGAGATAACAAGTTATATGAAGTAACAAGAAAATACTAAAAGGACGAAAAAATGATAAATACAATAATTTATAAATGCTAGGAAAAGGGAAAATAAATAATAAAAGACATGTGATAACAAAAAGTCAAAATGATGAATTGAGAAAGTACAAAAATATGAAGAACAAATGCATATTTAGAAGAAAAAAAATGGACGAAAGAGATAGATTAGAGTGATTATGAAAAAAAATTAATTTTATAAAAGAATATACAACAAAATTATTGATAGTCAAACAAAATGTTTAAAATATATTATGAACAATAAAAACTAAAATAATACTCTCGTGCAGGTAGCATGGGTTCTTTCCTAATATAAATAATTTAACAAATGTGGTTGTTTCCATCTCCAAAAAGCAGTGGCAGAGGTAGGTAGTAGAGAGGGGGTTCATTTGACCCCTGTGCATTTCTACAAAAATTATATTTACATGTACTTTTTTGAAAGAAAAATAGATAAAATATTGAAAACTTAGCTTAATGATCTCTGTAAATTTTGCTCAAAATACATTTTAAATTAAAATTGACTCATGTAAAATTTTTGGCTAGCTTCGCCACTGCGCAAGAGTATTCTGGAGAAGAAAAACTAGAAGAAAAAAAAGACTGAAAGATTGTTTGTAGTTGTGTGTTTAGAGTGAGATGTGAGGATCTCTTTATGTAGCTTCAAGAAACTTGGAGAGGAACAAACGCATTGATGGATGTGTTTTAATGCTCTTTGAACGATCAAAGAAAGAAGAGAATCGCTCGATATTAAACTCATCAATCACCATATGAATTTAATTCAAATTAGGTGTTTGGTCCATGCTTTGCGCAAACAGAGAGTTTTATTAAATAACTATATTAGTTAAGTTATAAATTTTATTACTAACAATAAACCAAAAACAAATATGTAAACAATATAAGATATATGATCAACAAAAAAATGTAATAAATAATAATATGTATTTATAGAAACTAATGAAATCAATTATTGTATCAAAGCCATAATTATAATAATTAAAATAAGACAAAATACCGGTTTAAAAAATATTTTAAAATAATTTTTTATATACAACGTTCATAGTCTTATATCGTGACTTCTCTTTTGGATTTATAATTAAAAATCTTGAATTCTTTTTTTGATGTTACTTTTAATTCTTCATTCTCCCTAGCCGAATTTTTCTCCGTTTTATGGAAATTGTTTTTTCTTCTATTGGTTCTTATTTTTCATGCAAGTCTTATCTTTCATGGAAGCACATGCCCGAAACAATAATATTATTGCGTAGGTAAACAGTCTTTTTGGTGGTTTTGATACCAAGCTTTTATCTCTAAAGTAATTATTATTTGCATAAATTATGTTTACGCATTATTTTGTTTCTTCTTTCATTAGCCTCGAATTTCTCTTTGTGTTGGCGAAAATTTGACTCTCTTTGCTGATTCTTATATTTCTCGTAAGTATGATCATAAAACTATTTTATCCGACCGTATGTAATTAGCCAATCTTTTTTGCTAGCTGTGATACCATGTTTAGTTTCATCTCCTTTGTCATTATATATATACATTAAGTCTAAATATAATTTTAGCTCTTCATTCTCTAGAATTTTAGTTCTTCATTACGTAAAAGATTTTTCTATTTTGTGGATCTCATTATGATTCATACATTTACATAGTGATGATTACGCATTATTTTATTTAATCTTAACTCCATATTCACATAATTATGACTACATTCTCTCGTATATTTTTTTCATATATTCATTCTCTCATAGATTATAATAGTTTACTATTATTTAAGACCTATAATTTTGTTTAATGATATTTTCTATAGTCCAGTCAATTAATGTATAAGGTTTAGTTATATAACATCTTATACATTAAGGTTTATTAATGTAAAATATTTTGTAATATTAACAAATTAAGATTCATTTATGTAAATGACTACTCAAATAATAATATAGAGATTTGACTCCACATAGACACATAATATATCAAAACTTTTTTTGGTAAAAACATACATATCGAAACTTGAAACCTGAAACCGTCCAATGACTCCCCGAAAATCCAAACGAGGTATATTAAAAGATAGTCTTTAAACTAGAATTTCTGTAACAAAATATATATTTTTTTTAAAGTGTATGATGTCTAAAAGTGTGGATTTTAAAATTATATAACGCCAAGTTCAGATATTGTTTGAAGCTTAAAAAAAGCGGAGTGTTCGTTGAAATTTACCAACAAACAAATTGGAATAATGCTATATGTTGAATGTTTAAACAATGCTATGATAAGTGGCTAGTCAAATTATTTCACTACTAACTGCACTCAATAATAGTGATAAAGGACAGCAGATATTTGTGGTCAATAAAGTCTTAACAATGATAAAACAACGTCTAGAAATGTGGATTTTAAAATTATATAACGCCAAGTTCAGATATTGTTTGAAGCTTAAAAAAAGCGGAGTGTTCGTTGAAATTTACCAACAAACAAATTGGCATAATGCTATATGTTGAATGTTTAAACAATGCTATGATAAGTGGCTAGTCAAATTATTTCACTACTAACTGGACTCAATAATAGTGATAAAGAACAGCAGATATTTGTGGTCAATAAAGTCTTAACAATGATAAAACAACGTCTAGAAATGTTCTAGATTTCTTTACCAAGAGTTGAATCCACATCAAACAACATAATTAACCGAAACTTTTTGAACTGTAAATAGTTTCTGCGGTCAGTTTTGGCATCTTCAATTCCTCCGCTAGATTCATTGATGCACATACCTGTTGAAACCATAAGAAAAAAAAAAAAGAAAAAAGAAACCATTAACCACAACGGAAAATAATGAAAGTAGAGTGATTTACCAGCTCATCCCATCGCCTTTCCAATGTTTTAGCTCCATTGTTGTGTATGGCCTGGCCTAGTCCATTTCTTGGACTTTTACGATTCTTGGAGTTCTTGGCAGAGGTTTTTTTCACTTGTGATGAGGCCCACATCTTCAGGTAACCTCCAAAGAGAGACATTGCATAAGCTTCACTTTCCCAAGATCAACATGCATTCCTTATGCATATCATAAAAGATCACACCCACATTAAGGGCTTTGCATCATTCATACAAAGTTAATATCACATTGCATAAGCTTCTTCATTCAGCAACATGGTCCGGTATAAGTAACTTTGGCCTACCTTATAGAAATAAGATGTCCTTACAACAGCCACTACAAGAAACCTGCCTTTTTACATTGCACCTAATCAATTCGACGTAAAAAAGGCTTTGCATTGAATTACCGACGAATTCCAATTCATCGTAAAACAAGTATTGTCGTAAAACCGATGTAACTGTTGCGACACTTCAAAATCATCGTAAATTCAATGGTACAGAATGGTCGTAAATTCGACGTAAATATTTACATTGTTATTATGACGAATGTAATTTCAACACTAAATCGATGTACTCAATGCAAGTTTACATCGATTGTATAACAATTATCCGATAAAATAAAAAATCAAAATAATGATTTTTTTTTAATTTAGACGTGAATTCGTCATATGTATTCGATGGTAAATCGTCGTGAACTATTGTAATGTAAATTCGTCGTAATTGTTTCAACGTAAATTCGTTGTTAATTTACATTGAAATTACATCGAAATCAAAAATATATTTTTTCTATAAATTCTATTTTCAATTAATTTAATATAAAATAAATCAAGTATAATATTAATAAAAAATAATGATTTGGATTTTAAATTAATAAATTTAATTAATTATAAATTCAAAATATTTTACCAAAAAAATTAAAAAAAATATATAATTTAGGTACAAATCATAATCATCGATAGTAATATCGACGTCTCCCGTCTGCGTTTCACCGCCGATACCCATCTGATCGTCAATACCCCCCTGACTGCCGGAACCACCTCACCGCCGGTAACAGTCTGCAGACCAGAAGAAGTGGTTCCCAAGCCCTGTAATTGCCGTTGTTTCTCTCTCAATGCAGCCTCCAAGTCTGGGATGCTTGCCGCTATGATATCGAAGAAGCTGTTGAATGACTGGATCTCCTGCTTTTGGACGACTTGCTCAGTCTGCAAGCTCGTGATCTCTGTGTGGGTGACTTCTAATTCTTACCGCAGAAGAACTGGATCCTCATAAGCCCGACTTCCAGTAGTGGAGGCGGCTGGACAGTTTCTAACAGAGTACATTCTTAAGATACAGTCCTTCTTCCTCGGAGCAACCTACAAATAATTTTAAAACTTTATATAATTAAAAATCATTTAAATTTAATATTATTAATTAAATATAAAAAATAAATAAATATTACCTCTTTGAAAATCTTATCTTGTTCGAGGACGGTCAAAGGAACTTGGATCATACCGTCACGTTTGACATGAGTTTGTCATTTAGTGATCTTCTCCATGGTATCGTTGTAGACCTTCTCTAAGCAAGCATCTACAAACGATCAATCCTTCTTCCGGTGACTAGCTTCGAAGACCACCGTCATTGGAGGAAGTTCTCCTCCATTCTCCTCCGCCTACAAAAATGTTAAATACAATTACATAAATAGTAATAATTAAATAATAATAATAAAAGTATTAATTAATTAAATTAAAAAATTGTATCCCTGAAGGAAGGAATGAGTTCAGAAAATGCGAAAGACAGTAATCGTTGCATAAACACATGGCAGTCATGACTCTTCATCCCTGAAAACGTTTCTCTTTTCTCCAAAGATTTAGCAAGATTAGATCAAGAAACTTAGGAAAAAGCTTAGAAAAATTGATAGAAGATCAGATTTTCAGCTCAGAGTCAAACCGTCAGAAGTTCATGCTCAAATGAAATTTTTCTCACCGTCTGATCTAGCTCAAATTTGGAGACCTTAAAGATGGAACAAACAGCTTTCCAGCACACTTGACACCAAGACAATCTAACGGTTCAATTAAAAGTTATGCGAAGAACAAGATGTCCCGTCAACCAACCGGCAAGCAATCTTGACAGCGGCCAGCACCCAGTTTACACCGGTCATGTCTTCTCTGACCGCGAAGATTGGTCTCTTCGGTCTAGAAGCCCATTTCCAAGCCCAAATCGATTCTTTCATTTGGAGAAACCCTAAGTGACACCCAGAAATGACTTGAGCACTATAAATACATGTTTTAGGAACCCTAAGACGAATGTCCTTTATGCTTTTATGTTCTTTTATGTTCTTTTATGTTTTAGAATACCTTTTAAGTTTTTAGTTGTTGTTTAGGGAGATAGAGATCTATCTCTTGAACCCTTTTTGTTTTTTCTTCATATCGACTTCAATACAGATTTTCATTACTATGTTTTTGCTTTCTTTAATCATGTCTGAGTAATTTTATTGTTGGGTTTAAGAGTATTTTCGATGGAGACCATATATGTTTGATGAGGATTCCATTAGATGTTAAAGCCGAATCCTAGAACTTTTTCTTCTAAACTTATTTTTAATGCATGGGAGTAGCGTCATGAACTATAATCTAATTTAGGTTTGTAGTGTTGCGAAAGTTTTCATTATGAGCCAGATCTAGTTTGAGAAGAGCAATTCTGCCATAGGAGTGGAAACCTACCTATGGGTGAGCTGTGAATGTTGAAGAGTCTTAAGCAAACTTGCATTTTTTCCCTTCTGGGGCCAGAGTGAAAACCTACTGATCAAGGTTGCGAGAGATTGTTGGTTATGATCACAAGAGTGACGTAGTCATACGTTCGTGACTCGAGTTCTAAAATTTTTAGGTAGGATCTTTTTAATTCCTTTTTAGCAATGTTTTGAATCGTTTATCCCCATAGATAATTTCCTTGAAAACCTAGTGTCTCGTCTTTATAAGTTTACACCGATTTTTATTCAAACTTTTAGTCATTAGGTTATTTTTCATTTCCAACCGATTTTCATTCAAATTTTAGATTAGGTTTTCTCTAGTTTTTCCAGCCGATTTTCTTAAGTATTTTTCTTTTTCCCATTTAGTTTAGAATTTACGTTTTCGGGATAACCCAAAACCCCTATAAATTTCGACAAGTTCTACACTTCCTTACTTCATATTTCTTTCAAAGGCTTTTGCAGAACAAGATACTCCTTCACCATGCCAAAAGAAATTGCGCAAAAATGATCAAACAGAGAAGTAGAAAAATAGAAAGATCCATTTGATTTGGAGTTCCCCAACCATTCCAGACCAAGCATCTTACTAGAAGTCTGATAAGTAGCCCTGAGAGTATCAGAACCTTAAAGTCTGCATGAAACCAAAAAGTCCCACGGGTTCTTGCCCAAGTCGTAACATTGCTCGAATGTAGCTATCCCTCCATGAGCATAAGTATACACCAGCTTACAGTTCTTTGTGCTCACCATATAATTAGCAGACAACTTGTTTGTCGGATCAGTCACAAGGCTCCCATCAACTATTGTCCGGTTATCTCTGCTATGAATGTAAGTAAGGTTCAAGAGTTTCTCCGCAATTCAGATACTTTTCATGAACTGAAACCAAACATATTGCGGCACAAATTCAATATGATTAAATGGGAAAAACATCATTTCTTGTTCTGTTTTCTCTCTTTCTCAGAGAATGCATACGTATCAAAACTTTTCTACCCCAAGAATTCATATGCGCTAGATTTCACTTGGAAATACACCCCAAAAGCTATAAATTAGAACTTAGAGCTCAAATTTCCTTCTTAAAAACTGAAACATTACAAATTTCTTGTTCAATTTCTCTCTTCCTCTCTAATTATATTGCATGAGATTAATATAACTAAAAATACATTCTTGAAACTTTTCTAGTCCAATTTTCTCTCTTTCTCCGATAATCGCATCTTGTGTAATCTCCAGAAGAATAAAAATCTCAACTTTAGAAATGCCAATTCGACTATTTCTCATTCCTTATAGGGTTTAAAGCTAAAGGGCTTAGCTTTTAGGTTTTTTAGAATATCCGAGAAAACTGGAAACTTTACAGCAACTTTTCGCCTAAAAGACAAAAGGAAATACCTTTTTAGGGACGTTATAGTCGATGATGAAGAAGTCAGGCTCCTCAACAACGAGAGAGAGACCGTTCAAGCTTGGGCCTGCGATGATGGTAGCATCAGTCATAGTGGTGCGTAGCTTAACATTGCTGGCATTGAAGAAAAGCGAAGCAGCACCACTGCTCTTGTCGACATCAAAATTTCCCTCGACAGAAGCTTTCATCATCTTTAAGAGAGAGAGACGACTCATGTGTTCTTCTTCTCCCTCCCTTGCGTCGCCATCTTTGTTGACCTTCTCTGCTCTCTTTTAAAGCCTCAGGCTGAATCAGAATGAGATAACTTTCTCTATATCCCATTTAGAGGGGGATTTTTTTAGTTCCTTAAAACTTATATATTATATGGAGCAAAAGGAATTATAAAATTTTTAGTTAAGTACAATAATCATTAAAAATAATATAGATTTAACCAGGGTAATCGTCATACAGAAAATCCAAAGATTGAATGCGTCGATAGTACATTTACAGGCAAAGTCAAAATGTTGAAAATTAATAACTTTACTAAATTATAACATTAAAAAAATCATCTATACTGTTGAATCTCAACAAAATAAGTTATGTTGCATCTTCTACTCTGTAGAGATTGGTAGACAAGATAAAAAAACCGAGTAACAAGCTTGAAAATTTTTTTGTTGTAAGGTTGGGAAAAGAACACTTCTTATCAAAAGGGAAATTGGTAGAAAATTTTTGGAGAAATATGGTGGAAGTGATCTCTCTCGTAAAATGAAAAATAGTGGTGTTGATATCTCCAAAAAAGAAAAATTTTGAAGATGGTAACTACCTCAGCATAGGGGACATCCAAGTACTTCTTGAAAGATTAGCGAAATAAAATTGTAGTTTAAATCTTGTTGGGTTGGAGGATGGGTCATCCAAATGTAAGACTTGAAAGCTGAGAGTTGCAGATATCATATTGAGCCAGACCTAGGCTGAGATTTCGAAAAACTGGCAAACGAGAAGAGGAGCTCGATCCTCTGAGTATTTGACGATGAATCAAACCTTCCTGCCGGCAGAGGGAATTAACTAGAGTACACCATCAAATTAAAGGAACTTTGAAAGATCTCTGAACAGTCAGGAAATTATGGTAGTGGAGGAGAAAAACGGTTGAAACTGTTTGTGAGTCGTGTCTTTGAGGAGGTGGAGGTAAGAGATGCAGCCATCTGGAAGCTTGCCGGTGAAGGCTCCCTTGGAATGCCCACGATTGCGGAAAGTTTTATTAAAAGTTTTGTGCAGATTTCAGCATAGGCGAATAGTTTAGATCTGGCTGATTTGATGGATTGGGTGGCTCCGATAGAAGGAGAAAATGATGCAGCCACAAGATGAACTGACAAAAAGTTAGTAGAGGCGTCATTGTCGATGATGCCAGGCGGCAAAGTAGGAGAACAAAAGAGTAACAAAATCTTATTGGTAACTATGGAGGAACGAGTAGATGGGTCGGAAAGCAAGGAACAATGTGGAAAGTAATTTCCTCGACAACAATGGAAGTCAACAAAGTGAGAGAGACAGTTCTTCGACAGGATTTGGCCAAAGGTGGAGCTTCGCCACTCAGGAAGAAGATGGTTGCCAGTGGTTGAAAGGCATGTCGATATCAATCGACAGTTATCTTAAAATTCAGGTCTGAGAATGTAATTAATGATGATTTTTTTTTTGTTTTTGGGATTATATCTTCCCTTAGTTTAGAGGTTATTATTATGTTAAATAATTTAACTACGTTTGGTGGCATCATGACTTGTGAATCTGATTTATTTTTTATTTTGTTTAAGAATTAAATTTGATTTATATATTTTTCTACCAAAGATCAAAATAAGGATAAACTCATTATCAGATTCATAACACAAACATTATATTTAGACTAAAGGAATGCTGGTCTACATGTAGTTGAAGATGTTAGTTTTCTTGCATTACAAATACAGAGCGGATGCTTCACGGACTATTCCTCTTACTAGCCACATGTGTTTTTAATTAATAAAGAATGGAGTTGGCCCAAATCACTCTAAATTATAAGATACCCAAAATTTTAGAATATGGGGTAGGTGACGCAGATAAATACTTGGTGTACAAACATATATATACACTAACAAATCAACATTTAGAAATTTGTAAATAACCCGAATTATTTTAATTTTTATTGACTCTAGAAATATATTAGATCATTAAATCTCTAAACTTGTCCATAGTATAATGATATACATAAACGTAAATTTTTACCATTAAATTTAGTATTTAAAACCAAACAATCGAAAATATTCTAAATAAGAGAAATAAAAGAAAGCTAGAAATTAGAAAACCAAAATTTCAAAGATAAATAATAATAAAAATGGAGGAGAAAGTCGGCCATTGCAGACTAGAAAAATTATTTACAATACACAATAAACATGGTGGTGAGTGGAAAAAAAAGAATTAACCATGTTTTTAATATCTTCAAACGCTACAAATATGGGCTTTCTCTCGGTGTTTTTTCTTATTAGACTCGAAAACCCATTAAATGCATTGATAAGACTTTGATAACACTTAAAAGTTATCATACCCATTAATTTCATCATACAAAATCAATATAATTTGGCCCATTTAAAACAAGTTAGTTGTTCCTTATATATAACCAAACTATAGTTAACCTAACATATTTTTCAGGTTTCAGTAGTAAGATACAGACGGCCGCCTTTTTCACTCCAAGCAAAACTCGAACTCACAAGGTTATCATCTTCTCTTCTCCATCATTTTTTAACAATAAATATTCATCACGCTCTTCAATTTTTTTTTCCTATTTTTTGAATGCACTATCACTGCTTTGCATCATATATATTTGCCATTAATTTGAATGATTTTATCACTAATATGTATGTTGTAGAAATTTATTTCCATTACTTTGTTAATTAATCACTGACTAAATAGATATTTTGTTTTCTATAACCGTAGTAGTCTTATTAGTTTTTTTTGTCTGAAAAGTGTAGCCATCACTACATCTTAATGAGAGATTATAGCCACTGCTCTGTTCTTTTATTTAGAGAGTTATAGATCTTGAACTCTCGCTCTCTAATACTCAAATTAAAGACATGCCTCTTATAAGTTTTGTAGTGATATTGAGAATAAGATTTTGGAATCTTTTATGATATATATGAATCTAAATGATTTATAATATAAATGTTCAAAACTAAAAATTTGTAAGAACAAAATATCATCCATTACCAGAATTAGTTAGATTTTTGTGATTTTGATAAACCCTCAATAAAATTCATAGGTAATTTTTTTTCCAAATCCTATTTGTCCAAAAAAAAAAATTCTCAAACCTGTGTTGGGAAAGATTTGGTTATAATAGCCAAGCTGGATTCAAGGTTGAGTACTTGTGTGTCTGGCAAATGTTTCACTCTTCCACATACATTTGTATGTCTTGCTTCATCTTTGACCAATAAAATAACCATTTTATTCTTTTCATTGTATCTAGAACTCCATAATACCTTCACATTAAATCATTATAATATTCACACCAAATCAGTGGAATATCAACCTAAATAATGGGTGAAACCAATCTACCTTTGTAAACACTACACTGCCTTCCACTCACCACTGTGAATTCCAACTCCTCAAAAGTTCTAAACACCTCTTAGACAACTTCTGAATACTTTTCATTTGTGTATATTTCATCAAATATTTCTTTCATTTGAAGGTTTGTTATCTTTTTAATGACAACAAATAAACCTGTATTAGTGAAAGATGTTCTGACATTATCTAACTTATCTGCAACCTTATTCTTTTTTTTTTCCACGTATAAATGATATCATTTTCATAACCAAGCAACTTTGTTAACCACTTTTAATACTCCACCGTTATGGTTTGCTAATAAAAAAAAATACTTGAAACTTTTTTGATCTGCATGATAAACTTCCTCTCCATCAGATAATTCTTCCATTTCTAAATTACCAAAACAATGACATTAATTCACATTCATAAATTAGTTTAAGTGGTATTCTATCAGATAGTCAATGGTCAAAATATGCTATTCTTCTTTGATTTTGCCTAAAAACTACTCCCAAACCATATCATGATGCATCAGATTCCACCATAAATATTTTACATAAATCAGGTAAAGCTAGAACAAGGGCTGAAATTATTGCTGTTTTCAACTTTTCAAAATTTGTATGAGCCTTTCTAACCAGTCAAAAGCATCTTCCTTCAAAAAATCTCTAAGTGGTCTTGCAATAACACCAACATCCATTCACAAACCTTACAGATTATCCTGTAAGTCCCATAAAACTTCTTGATTCTTTCAATGACTTATGACATGACCAATTATGCATTGTAATTATCTTTGCATGATCAGTAAAAACGCATTCTTTAGAGATAGCATAATTTAAGTATTCCACTTTAACCTGACCAAACATATATAAATATATATATATATATAGCCAAAATTATCTACAAATTTCTGGTATGTTCTTCCATTGAAGAACTGTAAATAAATGTAGCTTTTTTCAACGCTCAATAATACAGACAAAACCTTCAACTCATATCTTTCTTTTTAATCAAAAAACACTATACTTGAGAATAGGGTATAATATTGCCTGATCAATATTGCTTTCAACATCTCCGCTACCAACTCCTTCATAAATTCTTTGTGTGCTTGTGGGCATCGATATAGCCTCACAAAAATAAGAACAAAGTCATGTATTAATTTGTTATTGGTTATAAACTAAAGCCGAATTGAAAGGAACAAAAGTAGGATTTATTTGACATATGTTCTATTGTATCATTCCAGTTGCAACCACTTTCCAGAATTCAATATCTTCCATTTTAATCATTGTTGCAATATGATTTGGAAGACTTTGAAGTTTCTTCACTTTAATCACCTCTTTCGTCAGTCAGTTAAAAAACATATGTTCCAAATTTTCTTCATCAACTCTGATATGTATAGTTAACTCCTAAAACTTTTCTGAGTATACCATTTTATTGACCCACTTTGTTGAGTCCTTTACGGTCTCTTCCTCGAAGTGCTCTCAAATGAATTAGTGAATTGAGCCAACATCCACCTTTTAAAATCCAACTAGTCACGAAATAGTTGATATTCAATTTCATAGTTGTACCAAATCCATCCATCCATCTACATCCTCGAAACTTAAGGAAACTAGATTCATCTTTGCGACAAAGTTATATTGGCCAATTCGAAATAATTTTCCTGCATGGGTAATTCAAACATCCAGTTTGATCCATGTACCACAAGCATCTCTGGATTTTGTTTGATAAAAAAAGAAATTATCTGAGATTGATTTGCTGTTGAACCCAACTGTTCGTGTTCTTTAGATTATGTTAGCCTTAACGTCACTTCAGTTGATCTTTCGAAGTCACTAACGATTGAAATACTGATTCAATGTTATTTAATAGCTTCTCTATTGTCATAGCGACTGCATATTTTTCTAAAATATCGAATTGATTATCTTTTTAAAATTATTTTTTTATATTTGATTATTTTTTATTTGATTTGATTTTTTAAATCATATTTCATTTTTTTTACAGTTATATCTACTCTATTATCATATTTACTTTTTAATTTGAAGAACTTTTATATGTATTTAAAACACGATAGATTGCTTTGTTATGTGTCATAATTATGTTAGTTACTAGATTTCAAACACCGAATTTTATATAATAAGATATGTTCTTTGCATGATGAGTTTATATATATATATATATATATATATATATATATATATTCTATAAACATAAAAAAAAAATCCACAAGTTTTTAGTTTTGTGTTATAAATATTTTTTGTTAAGTGATAAATTTCATATTAGAACAGAAAATTGAATTTATAATATTTTAAATGTTCAAGGATATCTGATCCATCGCATTCTGCAATTCTAATTTCTATCAACGAAATAGTAGTTATCATCAAACAAAATAGATTTATCTTAAATTGTGGCCCTATATAGATACCCTATATTTTGATTAATAATTCCTAAGATAATCATCTAGTATTCGAAATTAAATAATATAATTAAACGATTAGATTGATGATAACGCATACTTTCATACGTGCCCTACTAATAGATATACACTAAACATGCATGTATACACATTTATCGTCAAACTTTGACAATTGGTTTATTATCACAATTAGCTTTGGATTCGGTTCAACTTTAATTTTAACTAGTTGATTACCCGCACTATGTGTGGGATAAATATTAACTATAATTTTTTTATTCAAATATGCAAATATAATATATATAAATACAACAATAAAATATTGACTAATATTTATAATTACAAATATATATGATGATTATGCAATTATAAATAATGATCAAAGTTATATTTATTTTATAATACGATTGTATAAATGTTAGATAATTATTAATTTTATAATTGATTTTAATAGTATTTTATATGAATAAAATTACACATTAAATATACTAAATTAGATTAATATCTTCTACCTAATTAGTCTAACATCAGATTAAGATACTTTGTTTTGATATTAAAAATTGTGAATTATAATATGAATTAAAAAATTTAGATTTTATTATTATTAAATAGATAATATGATTATTTTAAACAAAGTAAGATTAAAGAAATATGAGATACAAAAATAATGTTTAGTAACATAAATAATATTATATATTAAAATTTTATAAATATGTTGATAAGAAATAGAAAGAAAGAGAGGATATATTTACAAATTAAATGTTTGAGTATTAAATATATATTTGATATAAACTAATCTTTAACCAAATTAATGTTAATGGTATATGATGTAATTAATCTAATAAGTTGATTCTAATTTCAAAAAATCTTTTTAAAGTTCTCTGAGATTGACACATCAACATGGTAAAATTATTAATAACACATAACATAAAAATTATTTTTTAAGTAAAGAAAAAGAAAATTATTTTTTAAGTGTCCTTCTCAAAGATTTTAGAGTGAAATCAATAATAAAAAATGGAGAGGCAACAGAGCCCGCGTGCGTTTGGTTGGACGTGAGAGACCAGAGCAAGGGACAAAGACAACTTCTCGTCTTAATTTGCCAACTTGCTTTTTTCCTATACATACACATTCACGTTACAATTTACATACAACTACAAATCTATAAAATATATTTATTAGTATAGTTTCGTGTTGTGTGATTCGTACCTTTTCTCTTTTGTTACATAGCTATTCAAGTCTGTCTTTGGAAACTGCTCTTTTGATTTGACTTTCTTTATTTCTCTTTTAATCAATTTCCAATTTTTTCTTTGTTCATTTTTCCTTATTGTCAAGTTTTAAACTTTTGAATATAGTATCATTATATTGCCTGGTTTTTAAATGTGAATTTCACCCATATTACTATTTCTCTTCCTAATAATCTCCGGATTCTATTCTCATTTGGTTTTTGTGTGCTTCGCTTCGCTTTCCTCATTCTCATCATCATTCATCTTCCTCTCTCTGCAGAAAAATTAAAAAAAAGTTGGTTTGTTGTTTTTTCTCTTTAACCTTTTCCCTCTTTTCTCCGCAATCGGTTTCTTCTTTGAATGTGTTTGTGGAAGAATCTAGGAAATTAGAACCTGGCGTTTCTTTTCTCTTACCAAACCTTTGCAGATCGATTTCTTTTTATCTATCTCTTTGTTTTAACCCTTTTTTTTTGTGTTCTGGGTTGTGGGTTTCATCAAGCTCGATCGTAATTGGTGAAATCGGTTGGTGGGTTTGTGCGTTTGTGTTCTGTTTATCATTAAAACTGATTATTTAGGTTTTGAAGGAAAAAAGTTAGTTTCTTTGCAATGGGATTTTAGACTGGATCTCTTCCTTTTGGCACCTGTTTAGTGTTTGTCTTGGCAAAATGTTATGTCTTCCTCTGTTATGTGATATGTTCAGTTATTGTATTCTGATTTCGTTGGGTGTATTCTGTTTATACATGAAGGCTTTTACATTTAAAGTGTTGATTTTTATTTGCTTTGTATTGAGATTGAGAGTTTGAAGAAGAGTTTTTGCTTAAGTTTTGATCTTTATCTGATTTTCACTGATGCAATTCTTGTTGTAGCTGTGCAAATTGTTTTTAAACTATTTGGATCATGGCGGTTGCAAATTCCATTGGTTTTTTTCCATCTATTGGCTGTTTGATTTTGAGGTTCAAGTGTCAATTTGATAATGCAGTTTTTGTATTTGATAAACGAAGTAAAAAAAGTTTCTTAATTGCAATTGGGTTTGTGGTTTTTAGAGTAGACATTGCCTATCCCACTTTTCCTTGCATCATCTTGATTATTGCTCAGTTGCATCTTTCTTTGGTTGAGTGAGATGCCCTCTATGTTCAATCGTGGATCATCATTGCTTATGAGGAACTGTTTTAAATTGAATGCTTAATAGTGTTTCTGTTGAAGATCAAATTCTTCCAGTGACATGATAATAAAGGTCTTCTCTTCTTCTTCGTTACTGAAAGATGTTTCCTCTTTTTTGTAGATTCTAGCATCACCTACATTGCGTAAATTGGTGAGAATCTCCTGAATTCTCAAGTGTCAACTTTGGTTAAAGCTAGGATGCAGGGAGAGAGGGCAAATGTCGGTTCGTTATCAGATGCCTTGAACTTTGAGCATGGTTCTTCTTCTAATAATGCTGTGGTAGATCAGCAGAATCGTTGGGAGAACATTAACAATCTTGGTGATAATGGCGATACTACTTTTTCAAACTCAGTGTATCATGAGCAACGTGACTTGCACAGGTTTAACCTTGGTGAGGCTAGCTCTAGTGGTACGAAAAACGAAGCCGCTAGTCACAGTGAGCAATGGATGCAAATTGGAAGTTTTGAGGAACGAAGAAAGGACAACCTTGAGCTGAACCCTTTATTTGTGCAACCGTCTAGTGGAAACCGTGTTGCTCGAAATGTGAATCTGAATGCAGAATATAATGAGCATCTTGATGATATGAATCCGGTCATAGGTTACCCTGCTGGTCTTATACCAGAGAACAGTGTTAGAGCAGGTTCATCTGTAGATGGTCGTCGTGCATCCTGTAAAAGAAAAGCTCTTGATGCCAGCATTGGCCAGTCCTCTTCAAGCGGAGGTTTTCGTGAGTTCCACCGTGGAGAGAGCAGTTCTTGGACCTCAGCTCCTGCGTTTTATAGCCCAGGAAGTAATGATTTGAGCATATCTCTTGGTCCAAGGGGATTGGTTCCAAATCTGTCTGCTCCTGCCAACACAGAGCGCTTCTCTGTCAGGGTTAATCCCACTGTTCAACAAGAAACCGTCTTTTCTGCGGGAAGTGTTATTCAGCGACCGGTTGCGCCATCTTTCAGCTCACCAGGGCATCTACCAGCAGATCAACAACTGAGATATCATGCTTTAGGCAATGTTGCTCCTCAGAACACAAATGCTTTTGCTATTGGTATGCCTTCTGTTTCAAGGAATATGATACCACCATTTCAATGGAGTGGGAGCCCAGCAGCAGCTGGTGAATCACCGAGTTCTGCTGCTCCTCCCGTTGACAGAAATGTTGTTCAGCGAGTTGCAACCAGACAAAGAAGCAACATGCTAGAGAATCCGTTGTTTGTTCAAACTCCGGAACTGAGGAATCTGGCCCTGAGAAATCTGGCAGCCCGTAGTATGAGAAATGGACTTGGTGCTGGACATGTTGCATCGTCTTCATCCAGGACGAATGTTCAGCCATCACCGTCGATTCCAGCATGGACTCCTTACCAGCCATCACCGTCGAGTCCAGCATTGAATCCTTACCAGACACGACCTAACCAAAGAAGATTACATGAACATCTTCGTAGGTCATTGCTTTCTTCCCTTGTTACAAACCAGAGAGCTGGTCGTTCCTTGGTCCCTGCTGCCTCTTCGGGTGAGCATGTGCTTCAATCTGGAGGTGGTAACACCTTTCAGGCGCAGAATCAGGCTTACTCGAGAGCAGGTCCAAGACAAATGCGAAATGCAACTGGTGCTCCTCATTCTTCGCGAGGGTTGGCGTCAACAAGTCAAGGACGAAGAGGACTGGCTACATCCGAGGTTAGTTTCATATAAAGAGTTAGTGTCACTTTGTGTTTCTTATGGTTAGTGGTGTTAGATTTTGGTTCATATCGACTCTAACGCACAATATTTTTATGTAGAGCTGACATTGTGCTTTTCTTTTGATACAGATCCGCAATATCTTGGAGCACATGCGTAGGTCAGGGAACTTGCGTTTTGAGGTAACGTTTTTTCCATTTGCGTATAAACAATTTACCGTAGCAGAATCCAACTTGACGTCTTCAAACTCCTAGAAATGCTACTTGTCTTCTATTTGTAGTCATTCATTTTCTTGCTGTTTCCATCTGACGACTTAAAACTCCAACACCTAAGCTGCAAGCAAATATGTGTTGTCCTGCTTTATTCAGGAGGTTATGCTGCTCAATCAGTCAATGGCAGGTGGAGCTGATAATCATGACCGATATAGAGACATGCGGCTTGATGTTGACAACATGACATATGAGGTAAAGCCAGAGCAAACCCATAAATCATCCATTTGCTCCTTATATTAACTGTGAGTATCAAAATCTGCAGGAGTTGTTGTCTTTGGAAGAGCGGATTGGAGATGTTTGTACAGGTCTTAATGAGGAAACCATATCAAATCGATTGAAGCAACATAAATACAATAGTAGCACAAGTTCTCAACAAGAAGTGGAGCCATGCTGTATTTGTCAGGTAACAATATCAGATTTACTGGTCTTATAAGATTTTCGTGTGACAGTCTTGTTAATGATCATGACTTAGTTGCATATACTGCAGGAGGAATACAAGGAAGGAGAAGAAATGGGAATGCTAGAATGTGGGCACGACTTCCATAGCCAATGCATCAAAGAATGGCTTATGCGGAAGAATCTTTGCCCTATCTGCAAAACAACAGGATTAAACACTGCAGAGAAGCCAAGAGGATGATAAATGATAGAAAGACCTTTAAGCTGTTGAGGTTTTTCTTACCATTCGTCGAATCTTCTATACCATTGCAGCCTCATCAGAACAACTTGGTCTTAGGCCTTTTTTATGTATTTGGTGTCTGCGTTTGAGGTTGATGATCCTGAGGTGGTGAGAAGATAGGTATGAAGGGGAAGTAACTGAGAGAGATAGGAAGGTAATGAGGAGAATCTAAGAAAAAAACTTAGGTTCTTTCTGAATTTGTTTGGATAATTTAAAATTTTACCAATTATTTATTTTTCTATAGTTACTCTTTAAAGAACCCAGAAAGATTGTAAGGCAATTTGGCGATTTATAGATTTTATGGATGACTGATTATGTAATTGATCTAATCTTGGTTATATCCTAAGTGGATGTGGATCTATCCACATAGCAGCAAAAGCTATGCTTATCCTTTGATTGAAGGAGGTAGCAAGATCTTAGCTCTAGGATCATCCGATCATTGAATTTGGAGAATATTATACTAAGAGTCGTTTTTTCAAACTCTTGTTACACTATAGCATTTTGATGTTTTGGTGCACTTTTGGTTGTGGAAAGACTATTAGCATTTTGGTGTTTTGGTGCATTTTGATGCCCACTTTTGTTTTATATACATTTTTTTGCGACAACTTAAATATCTAGAACGGTTCGACATACCAAACCGGTGGTACCCAGTTTACATAAACAACATTGTGAGGGTAGATCCAAACACTTTTTGCTAAATTGTCTGTCTTCGTATTCTTCGCACGTGGGATATGTGATAGTGTAAAAGCTAAATTTCTCCTTAATCTTCACAAACTCCTCCAAATGTAAAGCAAAAGCTGGTCATTCGTCGTGTGTAGACACCATCTTTACCAAATCCAAACAGTTTGTTGTAAAAACCACCCTTGTTTTACATATATATTTTATATGTTTTATTATATGGAATTTTTTAGAAAACAATTTGTTTGTTTATTTTTTAATTTTAGTTTAATAGTTGCATGGTTTATGTTTATATTTACAATGTGTTAACATACATGTGTTTCGTCATTTCTCTTTATAAGTGTTTGTATATTAACAAAAAATATCTCTTAATTATATTGTTAACTTACATTTAATTTCTTCTTCTTGTGTTTTTATATGTTGTATGTCATTATTGTGTGATTATAATTACATTTTCATAATTATTTTAATTTACATCCTTTCAATTCTTTCATAAGTTACATACAAGTTAGTTGAAGGTATACTATTATGTTTTTCTTGTTTTGGAATCTATAGTGCATACTAAGTCTAATTATAACTTCATCAGTCCGTGTACAACATTAACTAATCAAACCACTTCCAAAGCCTTGTAACAGATTCTTTTAAGTGTTTAATGATACTTTGACTCAGTTTATCATTAACACTCTGGGTTTAAACATGAAGAGTGAGTAGTTTCCTTAAGAGCTCATGGGTGTCGTACTTTGGAGTGTTTAAATGTTTGATCTTTGATTCTTAGTTATCTTCTTTCCTTCCCTATTTGGAATTTATAATGCTAGATGTCTCTTGATTTGTTTGGTCTAGAACCTAGAGAATTTCATACACAACAAGTGTGAGATGAAATTTTCCAAAGAACCAAATTAAATAAGAGTTTTCTGCAGTTATCACATGAAAATGATAGATAAAGCATGAAAGAGCTAATAGAACTTGATTATAAAGCTTATAATTATCTTTTTACAAATGAGAATTTGATATTGATTAAGGGTAATTAGCAAAGTAATTAACTTCATGAGAGTGAGTTAGTTTAGTTTAAGTGTTATAGGCTAAACAAAATTGTCTTTTTGAATGTTTTAGCATCTTAGATTTGCATTGAGTGCACCTTAATCAATTATCACACCCAAGAGCTTGTCTTTTAATCTTTGAGTTAATCTTGTGTAGTTCTTGCTTGGTTATTTGCTTTTCTTTCATGCTTATTTAACTTGAATCACTTAGGTGGTTAGTTGAACTTAAAAACCAACTTAATTGGCTTGGACTAAAGAGCTTCACGCATTTTAATTATTGCAATCTTTTCTCATTTGGATTGATACATCAAATACTGCAATGACATGAGCATGTTTAAGAAATTGGTTTAAAGACTAAAAATCCTTATATCAACCTCCTTGTTTGTCGTCTTCTAGAAAATGTTGTTTCTCCCTATAACAAAACACAGAGGATTAATTGGTTAACTTAATATTAATGATACGGTTAGTCACTTGTTGTTTCCTGTGTAATATAGTGATAGTAGATGTTACATTAACCTCTACGTATATCCCATTCTGAACATTTTGGTGTGGTTTTGATCACACCTTTCTTCGTCTGTGTATGCCATTTTTTTCTTTAATTTTTTTTACCTCACATGTAAATAAATACAATTGCAAATTAGGGTCAGTTTGAAGGAAATTTGAGAGGGGATTAGATAGTTCTTCTTCATATTTGATTCCTTAAATTACGCCATCTATGTCGTTGAACAATGTCATCGGCCTGCAATCAATAAGTGTAAGACTTTCAAACCTAATACTCTGCTTTAGACTTTCAGCATCAAAGTTGAAATTGCTTAAAACTCAGATTATAAAAAACTTCTCTTCTTTATTAGATTTAGAAAAACTTTTCTCAAAAACTAAATCCTCTCACTAAGTCTTATGCAACATCTCTCCAAAGACTCTTCTTTATATGGACTAAGCTACTCCTAAATCTATAAGGATTAGGAAATCACAAACCTTATCTAAAAACATAACTATATCTAAATCTTATTTGTAAATTCCATAATTATCTCTTAAGCAACTTCCTAATGAGATAACTTTCTCTCCAAGTCTTGGAATTATCCAACATTTTCTCCCTTAATTCCAACTTAAACTTCAGGTAGCTTGATGTCTTCTACTCCAATTAGTCTCGTCATCTCTTTAAACTTGATCCTTGCTAGTGCCTTGGTGGATATGGCTGTCTTCTGCTCCACGCCTGGTATATGCTCAACTTCAATCTGACTATTTTTCACACACTCTCTGCTGAAATGGTATCTAGAGAGTATGTGCTTACTCCTTCCATGAAACACAGGGTTCTTGATAAGAGCTATGGCAGATTTGTTGTCAACTCTAAGTATAACCTTTTCATAGTCTATACTTGGTATCTCCTTCAAAAACTCTTGAAGCCATAACCTGTTTTGCTGCCTCTGTAGCTGCCATAAACTCAGCTTCACAAGAAGACAATGCGATGGTGAATTGCTTCTGGGAATTCCAAGTGATCAGCGATGAGCAAAGGTAGAATACATGACCTGCAGTGCTTCTTCCATCATCAGCATTGATATTGTGACTAATATCACTATATCCCATGATCTTACTTGAACCATCTCTTTTGAAATGTAATCCCAAGTTAGTAGTTCCTCTTACATATCTCATTATGCGCTTATTGGCCTTCCCATGAGACTCCCTTGGACTCTGCATATACCGACTTAGAACTCCTAATGCAAATGCCAAGTCTGGTCTTGTGTGTAGGAGATACCTTAAGCATACTATAGTTCTCACCGTGTAGCATCGATCTCTGCTATTGAGATTTTTAAGTTTGCTTCCATTGGTACATGAGATAAGTTACATGTTTCCATCTTAGTATCAACAAGAATTCCTTGAGCATAACCTTCTTGTTTGATCTTAATCCCATCTGCTTCTTGAATTACTCTAATATCGAGATAATATGTCAAATTTCCAATATCTGACATTTCAAACCTGTTTGACATATCTTCCTTGAATTGTTTTATGATCTGTTGTGAAGTTCCGGTCACAAACAAATCATCAACATAGATTGCCACAATCAGGGCGTCCTCCTTGTTCTTCTTGAGATACACTGATTGTAACACCCCCGATTCGGTCTAGATTCGAGTGCAGTGACTGACCGCACAACAATCAAACAAGAACATGCACGGCCAACCATTCGAACCCAAACTGGATCGACGGTGTTACTGTTGCGCGCACAGACTGATGGCCCAAGGTTCTTAGCCGTGCACCAATCAAACAAGAACATGCACGTCCAAGAGCCCAAGGTCGACGTCCGCACACGCTGTTCCTACCGAACGCGTCTCCCAGCTTTTCAACCTGAGACGTGTCCGATAGTTGGTTCGTCTATGACGAAGACTAGTATCATTCGAAAGCCCGAGCTTTTATAAAACATACATAGTATATATTTGTGTTGCATCCAATACAACAAACTCTGATATATGCGTAGGTCCGAAAACATTTACATCAAAAATATCGAGAAAAAATACTTATTACTTGCAAAAGACACGAAATCTACACCGGTGGACCTACAGCTCCTCCTCCAAAGGCTACTCGCTAGGGTTACCTGCAAAACAAGTAGAGTCATGAGTAATTAATTGCTCAGTGAGTTCGATTCCCCCTAACCGTTCAAGCAACCCCATAAACCCCAATAATTCATACATTACGCACCACGCAACATCAATAACAAGTATATTTGATGCATGATTATACATACTTATATACATGCATACACCCAATATACACCCAAACGCCAAATCTCTCGGATGCCATTGACCAGTCCCGCACAAAGAAAAATCTCACATTTTGCACTAATCGGACCCTAGCCACACATGCTAAAAAGTCGCGACTGTCTTCTCTCTTGCATCACTCATCGACCCCGGATTTTACATCATTAACTCAGGGAGGGTCACATGGCATCAAACTCACATCTCTCATCCGCACGACACAAAATGCTAATGAACGTGCTGCGGATTCACATCGCAATGCAACACACAGTATAAATATATATATATATATATCCCTACTTGCTTTGCAGTAAAACAACAAACAACCCACACCGAGACTCACCTTGGCCTTTCAAAACAATAACGGTTTCTTATGGTTTAGGATAATCTCTCCGTTCACCTACACAACTTAATTTTTATAGAGATCCGACCATAACCGAACCAAACAGAGGTCAGATTTGGATTTAGGACAAAAAACTAGGTTAGACAGGTGACTTCGAACTAAAACGACCTACCTGACTGTTCCCGACTAGCTACCCGACTACGGCTCGCGCGGTGGTTCGCGATGGTCGACGGCGGTCACAGTTGCCGAAACTTTTCTAGCAGAGCTTCACTGCTCTTTTCTATACTGAAAACTAAATCCTAAAGCTTCTATTTATAGGGGAAAGATGGAGATTCTAAAAAGATTTCCGAGCAGCTGTGTCGTGCTTGCAGAAAAGATTCCCGAGCAGCTGCGTCGTGCTTGCGTGTGGAGGTGTAAGCAGGTGAAGCAGGACACGGAGCTACTGTGTCGTGCTTAGCGTGTGTCGGCGCGTGGAGAGCGTGCGCGCTCCAATCTCTCACTCTATTGATCTGCAAGCATTACAA